AAAAGAGTGTATTCACCAAGCCGCAAGAGGAGGCTTTAGGTACTTGTAAATTAAAACCGGAAACACTATTGGTGGACACAAGTCTAGAAGAAAAGATTAAGAGGAAAGAAGAACTGTATTAAAATGGCTTAGGACAAAAGAACCGAAACTAATTACAGTACAAAAGCAATAAGTAGAGAAGTTAAAACAAGACAGTATTATCAAGGAAGAATAAATTATGGCTGGATAAATGCGATTATATAGAACAATTCATAGGTGGAGCACGGAGCTCAGAAGCCTGGAAGTAATTAAAATCTATTAAATCGAATGCGAAAAACAATTATCGCATTATTCACTACATTGAATCAATAAATGGAAAGAGTATTTCGAAAAGACTGCTTCTAGAAAACAAAAACTTCCAAACACACAAGGAAGTAAAATTTGAGCAAAGGGTAGATCTGACAATTAAAGATTTAGAAAAAGCACTTAAGACAATGAAATCTAATAAGGCACCTGGTCCGGGAGATATTACCGACAGAATTACTGAAATATGTCCTTATAAACTGCACCAAATGCTCAAACAATGTTTTCAAGGTGCATGAATGGAGAAAAATCCTCCTCAGGAGTGGCGAACGTTCTTACCTAAACACCAATCCATAAGAAAGGATCTACAGACAATGCAACAACTATTGCCGGCGGCGATGGTGTAAAGCGGTTAGCGTACTGGACTGTTGTACCCAAGTTGGCGGGTTCAAACCCGATCGAAGCCGTTGATTTTTAAGGGCGAAAAAAATCCTTCGTACGCCTTCCTTCGGAGGGAAGTAAAGCCGGCTGTCCCATGTTCGTAGATTTACTGCATGTAAAAGATCCTCAGCCTAAATGACGCCTCTGAGCTAATTCAAATCGCCTGTTTTCTCGCCCAAGAAAATACCTCCTTTCTCTCTAGTTGGTGAAAGGAGCGTAGCGAAATTTGCGTGGTCAGACGGAAGAGCGCGGCCCTGTGCCCGAGTCTCGCCACGTAAAATAAGGCAAATTCAATTCAATTCAATTCAAACTACAGAGGAATAGCAGTTATTGGATCTATAGGTAGACTGTATAGCAAAATAATACGAAATAAAATAGAAGAAGAGATAAAAGGAAAAAGGAGAGGAACTGTGTGGTTTTACTGCCGGCAAGTCGGTCATAGACAATATATTTACATAATTAAACAACTTATAGAAAAAGAGAAACAAGGAGAGGTAGGGAAGTTCATCTGGGTTTCATTGATCTTCAGAGGCGTATGACATGTTACCGGTTGCTAGAGTATGGGAAGAAATGGATGGACTTCAAATCAGTGAAAACTTAATTGGAAGCACACAGAAATCTTAATATAAGAATAACACCTCTCAGATTAAGATCTACAGCAGGCTCTCGGATCCATTCCGTCAGTCAAAGGTCTGCGACAGGGGTGCTGTCTTTCTCCAACACTGTTTAAAATATATGGCATCAAATTTTACAGCAGTGGGAGAAACAATGTAGAGTAAATGGGAATGACATCGAAGAGGATAAATTGTTTACGTTTATATTTTGCCGATGACCAGGTAGTAAATTGCAGAAGATGCTGACGATTTGAGTTTCATGATCCGTAAACTCAATGAACACTTTTTAAAAGCAGGACTAAATATTGTTACGAATATGCGTCACCTGCGAATTCTCTGCGCGTGGATTGCGTCATCTGCCGGCGCCCTTCCCCCCCCCCGAACTAGACGGTTCCGGACTTTGCGCGAGCCGTGGGAAACGCCCAGAATGTGCCGGGTGCCTGGAGACAAGCGCCGGGCAGGTATAAATGCGCCGCTGCCGGCGGCCGCGGTCAGTTAGTAGAAGAGTTAGTAGAAGACGTGAGTAGAAGTCAGTGGGTAGACGTCAGTGAGTGGCAGAGAAGCAGTAAGTCCGTCAGTGTGTCCGAAGTGGAAGCTGTGCTGTGACAATGTGCATTGCGGTGAAGAGTGGTGCAGGCGGTTGACAGCAGTCAGCAGTCTGAAGTCTGCAGTGGAAGCTGAGCTGTTGAAGGGTGCATCGCGGTAAGCAGTGGTGCAGTGGGAAACAGCAGCCAGCAGTTTGAAGTTCTGCAGTGGAAGCTGAGCTGTGAAGTGGGCATCGCGGTAAACAGCAGTGCAGTAGACCCTGGTGTGCGCAGTGAAGTGTGGTCTGCGCAAGGAATTGTGGTCTGCGCAGGGGAATTGTGGTCTTGCAGGGAATTGGTCAAGTGCAGTGGACCGTGGACAGAGCATCGGACTGGCTGATACAGAAGAAAAGAACTGTGTAAATAAATAGTGTGTAAGGAGTGAACTGTGTAAATAAATCATCAAGAGAACGGAATCGTGTTAAAAGAAAAATAATTAATTGTAATATATCTGTAAATAGACCAAGTAGATTTTAGTGTATAATTGTTCCCGAATAAACCTTCTTGCGTTTAAATATTGTGTTGGTTTTAATTCACCACGAGGAACGTTACAATTGGTGTCAGGTTGTGGGGTGTGTGTTTAATCAGTATAACGTGTGGTGAATTGAAACCTTAATGAAAATGAATTTCACAAAAACCTTACGGGACTGAGAGTAAACGAGTTGAAGATGGAGTGGGAAGACAGGGATCTGGAGACAACCGGAACGAAAGCAATATTACAAGAACGTCTTGCTAACGCGTTGAAGGCAGCAGGAGAGGAATCCGAGAGTTTTCTTTTCGAGACGTTACGAGGGTATCCCTCTTCCGAGCATTTCATGATTCATAACAGAATTGCGAAAAAATGGAAGGAAACTGACACGTCAAAGAAAAATTGACAGAAAATTGCAGAATTTTCGGAGAAAAGGTGTTAAGAAAACCTGGACACAGATAATCAGATATACAGGGTGGTGTGGCTGAATAAGTGAGCATGGTTAGAGAAGAA